CCTTAACATCAATATGCATATTCTCCATACTGTTCTCTACACATTTCCTAAGGAACTGACCTGGAGAATTTGTTTAACAATCAAAGACTTCTCGAGTTGGTGATCGTTTCCTTTACTCTCGTGACCTTCATGTTTGATTTAGGGGGTGATTTTGAAAGGAGAAGTCAAATGCTTCTCAATTTTACATGTAGGAGCTAAAGAGTCAATGTACCTTACAACTCCTCCAAAGCACAAGGGTACTCGTGTTGGATGATACAACTTTCGCGCGATCTTCTTCGTGGAAGAGGGGATCATATCTTGCAAAACTGAACACTCCAACACCTGCTGAAGGTAAGGCCTGTCCGAACACATAATTCCAGCTTTCCCTCGGGTACAAATCCATCATCGTGATTCCCACAACGCAGAAAGCATCAGACGGCCATTTACTTTGGAGGTATTTGTAGATATCTGGAATCAATAACTGCTTATGTCCGTGATGCCTTCGTGTTTTACATTTCAGTTTTGCTATAGAAACAGACGGAAGGACAACAACTTGAAAACCAGTGAAAAATACACTTGCAAATCGTTGAAGAAGCGATAAAAAGCTTTCTTTTGTGCCAGTTTTATCCAGTTCCACTTCAGAGGTTGTCCATTTTTCGCCCAGAGGTACAAGATATATATTTTTCTTCTTCTCTCTAACGGGCGAAATGAAGGATTGAAATCTCTGCCACCAAGAATCCTGCGACTGTTTCATTTCAGAATGCGACGACAACCAGTCATCTTCATCTGGCTCTGGCAGAGCTGGAAACAAACTCCTGTTTTTCAGGCCTTTTGTCAAAAAGGTTTTTTCTTCCTTTGGTAGCTTCTCGAAGTTACCAAGATCACGAATCGTTGTAATTGTTAACGCAGTCGCCATGTTTGGATTGATCCAAGGGAAAGGAAGTCTGGAAACTGCTTTGGTCACGCAATATTCAAATTTTAGCGGAAGCCACAGAGGCTTCTCGGATTTTGGAAACTCTCCTCGAAAATGAGTTCAAATTAAGCGTTTGAAACTAAGCAATACAAAAATTCACTTCCGATTCCAATAGCATATGCAGATCCAGATAATCCCCAGAATGACAACTACACTGCAGGAACGTGGTCCTCCAATAATCACGATTACGTAAAAAAAAAAAACCCTTAGAAACGTGAAGAGGTCTAGAAATAAAAAAAATGTCCTTTCCCTGAGTAACTCACGACCATTGGCTAAAACCTTACGTAGCGATATCCAAGACATAATCCCTTGTCGAGATCTCACTTTACTTACTTTATTTCTACATGTTCACATTTCGAGATATTTCTTCACAAAAATGGTTTCACTAGCTACGCTGGAAATTTTGAGTTGCGTTAGCAAAAAAGATCACTCCACTCGCAGGTTTTCATTGATTTTCTTAAATTACGCACTAGTTAGCAAATAGTTCGAAGAATACTAGCCATCAATTCCTTACAACATATACATAATGTGTTACAATGTATAAATGAAGTTCATATATTTTGAACTGCGGTATTAAATACGTATGATGTACGATCCTCGCAGTAAAGAGCGCTATTTATACAATAGCGAAAATCAGACCTGAAAAAAATCAGGCCTGTACGGGATTCGAACCACTGACCTTATACCATATACATAATTTATAAAACAGTATCTTCAAACGTGACATTTTCGCAGGGCTTTTTAAATAAATTAAAAATATAAACAAACTGTTTATTCTACCAGAATTTTGGTATTATTCGTGTCTAAAATATTGTCAAAATCTCTTAGATCCCCATCAAATTGCAAATTAAATCATATCCTGAAGTTCTCCTTCTGCTTGTCATTCACAAATTTTGGTCCTCGGAAGCCGTTGTTTTGTTACAACGCGTTCTATCCAGATTGCGTGACGAAACCAAAGTCACGTTCCGCGTTTTGATTTTGTCTCTCATGTTGTATTAGCTCTCACAGCTCTATAATATCAATACTGAGTCTCAAAGGATTTCAGATTACTGGATTTCAAAGGATAAACGACCAGTTACCACCAGAGAGGACGAAGTTCGTTATGATGACATTACTTCCGGTTTCAACGTTCTAATTAACTCAGATGCCAGAGACTGTAGTGCTGTTCCCGCGGGTGATTCTGGGAATGATTCGAAAATGTTCGAACCTTGTTCACAACAAACGCACAAGTTCTATGAAGAAGGGAGAAAAAAATGGAAAAAAGTAACTGGAACGTAAGAAAAATTTGCATGTCATGCGAAGAATTCGTCATTGTAGTTCCTGACAAGTGACAAAAACACAGTGGAAAAAAAAAAAAAAACCATGTCAATAGAAAAGAAAATTTTGTTTCCAAAAACTTATATACCCTATGGTTTCCTCGTTTAAGCGCATGCGAAGTAACTTTCCAAACCCTCTCTCTCCGAGAAGCAGACACCTTTAGCTCACACAGTAGTGAAGTTTGCGTTACTAAGAGCGCATTTCGATTGAACGTCGTAAAACCCAAGACTTAATGACAACCAATTAGGGAAAGGACAACGTCACGAGGAGCCAATGAGATCTCTGAGTCAAAACAAGTAAACTGTGTAAAGCGCGGGAAAACGCAAGTGACTATGTCGCGATTGGTTTTAGTTTTGAATATGATTGGTTGAAAAAAAGTGGCGCGAGTTTTCTGGACCGATCACGCGGCGAGGAAAGGTAAAACTAAAGCAATACAGAATTTGAGAGAAAATGACTTTTGGGCTTTTGCCTTCCACATGGCTGGCTGCCTAATAATACAGTTTTCACTGGTCATCACAACCTTGACAACAGCATCGGTATCGGTAGAAGATTTAGCATCATTTTCATCGCCATTGTCAGCATTATCAAGGCATCAAGACAAACAACATCAACAACACTACTGACTACAGCATCATCATCAATAACAACAACTACAACAATAGCATTATCATAAACAATAACAACTACGACAAGTTTTTTTTCACTTGATACCTGATCTAGCGGGATTTTTCCAAGGAAACGAAGACCATTTTCACTTGCAAGCCTGTCAGCGCCACCAGAAGAAAACAGGTTTGAACATTCCTGAACGTTCATCAACACAATGAAGCAATTTTAGTAAGGTAAAATAATTCTAAAACCAGTGAAACAACATACCAGTAAATTGTAGCAAAATGGTACAAACTACATACAAGATTAATATAGAATAAGCGTTTTGCAAAGACTAAGTGCTCGATAACTATTTCACTGGTTGTGTTGACTCTCTGCAACTCTAAGAACCCTTGGAAGAATTCACAAAGCAGTTTGTTACCTGACAGTATGGACAAACAAAGCCACTCATATTTTCCAGGATCCCCAACACCGTAAGGTCCATCTTTCGGCAAAAATTCAGCTCTTTGCGGATCGTTGCCAACGCAACCTCTTGAGGCGTCGTAACGACGACAGCTCCATCAGGATTGACGTTTTTTAATGCTTTGACAACAGTAAGATGCTCATCTGATGTTCCGGGTGGTGTGTCTGTTGGTGTAAGTAGATAAAGAATTCATATTCCAGTGTTCATACGCGGGAAAATGCAAGTGACCGAGACGCGTTTGTTATTAATTTTGCATCAGTGATTGGTTGAGAGTTTGACGCGAGTTTTCTGGACCAATCACTGAGCAAAGTTAATTAAAACCAAAGCAACCTTGAAGCGCGGGAAAACGTGAATGACCGAGAGGCGTATGTTTTAGTTTTGCATCAGTGATTTGATGAGAGTTTGGCGCGAGTTTTCTGGACCAATCACATAGCAAAGTTAGGTTAAGTTAAACCAAAGCAACCTTGATACGAGGGAAAATGTGAATGACCGAGACGCATATGTTTTAAGTTTTGCATTAAGTGATTGGTTGAGAGTTTGGCGCGAGTTTTCTGGACCAATCACCGAGCAAAGTTGTGTAAAACCAAAGCAATCCCGGATTACTTCCTCTCGATTGATTGTCAGCCACAGGGCTTTCGAAGACGCCATATCCTAAACAGCAATTTAGAGTTTTTGTCTGTTCCACGGTTGGAGGTCGAGAAACAGCTCATTGGCGCGCATTTCATCAAATGTCTGACAGAGTAAAATTTTGTCTTCCAATTATATGAACTTTGCAATGGGTCTTGCCCACCATAGTCTCTATGGCTCAGTGGTAGAGAGCGAAGTACAGAATCCGAAAGTCTGAGCTAACAATTTTTCCTTTGTCCTATGTTCATGATAAGACGAAAATTATCTTTCTCTATTTCTTTTACAAAGCTCAAAATTTACCATCTTTCTTATTCTATTTACAATCGAAGCTTTGGTACTATCTTTTTCCGCGGCCCTTTAATCTTCTGACTAGCTCAATTTCCGAAAAAAATAAATGACCTAAAAACCTGCATAACTTACCAAATAAAAGAAAGTCGAGCCGACCCCAAAATGTGTCCTTCATAAACTGCTTGATTAGACCTTATAAAGAAGCAAAAACGGAAGGAAGAAAAGAAAAGGTAATGTGCAGGTTATTGCAAGCCTTTCAAGCGGGATAAAGGGGTAAGCTGTTGTGGTGCTGCGTCGCTTAGGGTCTAACAAGATAATTGTTATAGCCCTTCATCAGATTTTGTTCGCTCCGATGAAGGGCTAAATCTCGAAACATTAACTTTGAAACACTTACATCATCACTTTAGTTGACAAAACCAAATTACCTTTCAAACCCGAGTCTCCAGACTAAAAAGAGCGAACAAGTATCATACCTGTTTTCCGCGGTCCACGCCATATTATCCTAAAGGTCAATGAGAATAATTTCGTCAATGCTTAAAATAGCGCAGCTGGACAAGTTACTTCCAAATATGACTAACTTAGGTGCAGCTGATTAAGAAATCAACAGTGGTTTAGCGTGGTCTGTACTCTTATCGACAACGACATTCGTCATCACAGTGGTCAAAATGTGGATTCACAAGGCGCAGCCTCACCCTAACACTAAGCAAATAAAACGATTTTGTCTACACTCTTGTCGACTACGGCATATTGGCCAATCAGATTGCGACATTACTGCCAATTGTGGTAAAACAATGCTTCCACACTTGATCAGTACGTTGTTCCCTGGGGCTCAACACGCTCTCTCACGGTGCTGGACTTTACCTAGCGGTTTAATAGTTAATTCTCTAGTGGAATCTCCTCAACTCAAGAAGCTAGAGTTGCTCTCGGCTGCGCCTCGAGCAACTCTTACGCTTCTCTCGGCTGCGCCTCGAGCAACTCTTACGCTTCTCTCG